CATAAAAAAAAATTGCCCAACGCGTATGTGGTATAGGTGATGTCTCAATTCCCGAACATATTTATTTCGATTGTGTCATATACGCATACCGTTGTCGTACATTATATATTTTTATTCTCGCGGCCATTGCCGAAATATCATGTATCCGTGCATAGAAATCAGTTTAATGCAGCTATTAATTTCAACGGTTCGTTAAATATAATATTATGTGATTACCTAGTTGTCTGACGGCGAGCGAATGTAAATATTAAACTTTATGTTTTTATATAGCAGCTAGATCGAACGGAGTTTCGTGAAATCCAGCGGGTGATACTGCGAACCACGGTGCGTACTTGCGCCGGTGTTCTAATACGCAAGTCTCTATTTTATGTCGAGGCACGTCTTAAATAATTAAAATGCGACACAGAATTTCCATAACGCAACTTTTATCGTAATATTAAATATTATTAACAGCTATGCGATAGCATTAGATAATTTCTACACTATCACTACGTAGTAGGTCCCTACTATAATACAAGCTTGTAATATCTACTACCCGCACAACAAAATCATCAATCTACGGGTCATTAAACCTTTTTAGGATCATAATGACTAAACAGGTTTCCAAAAGCTATAATTTATTATTTCAAACTTAGATAATATTTTAATTCAAGTTTAGTAATTATATATTATTATTATTATTATTATTATGAAATTCCAATAGTAATAGCTAATACATTATAGAAACCTTTTAGTCAAGAATGTCACTAATACTTATTTTTAGTAAAAAAAAAATCATGGACGACGTATTAAGAAGAATAACGTTATCTTAAGACTCATAATTTCACAATTCAAGGTAATCTTCTAAATATTCAAAACAATTAAGAAAATAATACTATTTAAATATACTTTTTAGTGGATATTATCACATCCTATTTCCGACCCTATCCTAGTAAAAATTACAAATCTAATGTTCACCATGTCTTTGAACATTCAAGTTTAGTTTTGAAATTTTGATAATAATCCCTCCGCCGTAAAATAGCATAAAATAAAAGATGGAAAGATGAAATCGAACAGCAACAGGTTTCTCTCGTAGCCCCATCCATACATCGATTTTAAAAATTAACTCTTTCGAATTTTTTCTCAGCAATTAAAAAGGATTCTATTCCTGTTAACGTGTAAATCTACTTTTTAGAGGCACAAGATACACCTCTTCGCTCAGAATCTATATTGCATGAACTCACTAGAATTACATATTTCCATATATACTTTATTGAAATATATACTTTATTTACGTGTATAATGTACACCATTCTTATGAACATGTAAGCTTAATTTTAAAATGTGTATGATAAATGATAATCTTATCCCCATAAAATAACGTAAAAATAAAAATTCGTGGAATCGATCAGAATAAGGTATCTCCCACATCTAATCACAATAAAATAGTAACATAAACTTGTAAGAAAAAAAAAAACAAAATATGAAAAGTCAATATAATTTATAATATTATATAATTATTATAGCTATATTAAAAAATAAAGAGATATAAATTATATGATTTTTTTTTCAAAATTAACTTTTTTATGAAGTAAAATATAAATCATGACACTTTAGATACTTAAATTAATATGAAATATAATTATTCATTTGTTCCCTTTGCAATTTAGTAAAATATTTAAATTACTCTTTTAATATGACGTCACATTTAGATAGTATAAATTTCTAATTAGTGATTAATATATAATAAAGGTTACTGAATGGCCAATTTTTAATTTAACAATAACGTAGTAATTGTCTAAGAAAATTAATCAACACACGGAAATGACGAACAGTGAATAAGTACACGTTTTAAGACCAACGATTAAGTAGTAGTATTTTTATAGATTTTAGTGTTTAAGTCCTATTAATGCTTTTAATATTTAAGTGATTTTAATCCCAAAACGCTATAGCACATGGTATAGCCATGAAACTTTTATGTACTTAAACGCGCGCTGTATAATATACATTTATATACCTAACCGCTTAAGTACGATACACGTGTAAACGGTCACACACACATATATTATACATATATATAGGTATATATGTGTGTATGTCGTGTACACTGGTGACAAGGCCTTAGCAGAGGTTAAAAGATCACTATGCCAATCAAGTGACATTATTTTTTTCTTCTGTGCGTGTGTTCCAATTTCGGGAAACGGACAGCAACGAATGTCGCGCATCCGGTCGGCGCTGCATCATGATTGCTGCACCGCCACGTAGGGTCCTCGGGGTTAATGAAAACCTTACATTCTGTACACAAATTGATACGTAGTATACATGTTATTATTGTGCTCCTATAAAGACGTCGGTATACCCACGTCATATATTGTACACACACATACACACACGCTCACTTACAGTGTTTGTAGGAAATTATTTCTGTGACCAGACAACAAAAATATGTGAATTAATTTTAATAGTTCACTAATTGACCGGTGCTGAACGGATATAAGAGAGAGCTCTGGTGAATCCGCCTACGAAAAAACACGCGTTATTATGGAATATTATATAATATATGCATAGGAAACGGCCGGTCTTCAATATCGTCTCTATGTAATGTGATGTATCTACATATAATAATATAATATATAATTGACGTGTTCGACGTTACAATATTTTACGCAATAATTAATTATTATTAATTAAATAGCATGGTGCACCATATTGACGTTATCATGTATTAATTAACTAAATTAAATCGCAAAACTATATGATTATTATAATTATTTTTACCAACGACTTAATAATGATAATATACTGCATACATATGCAAAAAAATAATATATTTTGTAATCAGAGTAGAGTGTTAAATGTAATGGTTATACAATAATGTGTTTGTTTGTTTTTATACAGGTATCTGTTATCACATTTTAGAAGTGTTGTAACTTGGAACAGTGCTTTAATATTCAACAGTATAAGTGGTTTCTAGACAGATATTAAATCTATACATTTATATTTACTATTAGATACTTAATATTTATGTTGAATCATTAAATAATTTGGGTTCTAAACAATTAAAATAAATGTAAATAACTGTATTAATTGCGAAAACCAATAGATCAAAGCAAAACAGTGAAAGCAACGTATTAATAGATATTTTTTGAATGACATTATAGGAACTTATAATAACAAAAACTACATGGCCTCGTTACGAAAGCGGGTAATTGTCGTTTTTTAGTTGTAAAAATAATTTATAGGATTTCAAAACACAGAAAATGTTTATTTATTTTCAGCTTCCATAACCCCAACAAATATGATTATCACTCCTTAAACTTTTCCTCTACGTGTAATCTATGAATCCACATCACAATGATCGATTTGTGGCACAAATATTTGTCCATCTTATTCTCAAATGCCCTCGAGTAAATTTGTAGAAAAGTCGAAAAAAAAAAAACCCGTTTTTTCTTTAGGTGTACTACTGTACTCGATCTGTGTGGTAGCTCAGTGCCTATGTCATATAATCTGTGCAACCTCGTATTCCTTTTACACTAGGATCTGCTATATCCAAAAATGACGAAACAATATGCGTATATGGTTTTTTAATACACATCTCTAGTTAAATTTAGCGCCCATTTAAACTATTTAAAGACGTAGCACGTATTTGCACATTTGGACATACTTATAATATGTTTATAATAAATAAAGTCAAACATAATTTAAAATAATTATACATTAAGTAGTTTACAATATTTTTGACTTTAAAAAATAAAATATAAGAGTAAGTTTTAAGATAGAATGTTAACATTCTACCTAGGAAACAACTCCGAAAAATAACTTATTTTAACTGAGAGTAGGCCTAGTTGATGAACGGCAAATCAACGGCTTACACGTTACACATAAGTGCTAGTATATAGTGGTTCTACGATTTAAAATGATCAATTTGAGAGGTAGGGCTTTTATAAAAGCTTAAAATAAATCTTGATTACATTTCTTTTTATCAATTTATCTAGTATAAATATATGTATTCATATATTTAACTAATGACGTAATTTTAGAAGGATATAGGGGGAGGCTTGCGGCTTGCCCGCTCTAAAATTTGCATATAGGGCCCAAGGTATCATTTTTCCTCCTTCAGATATACCAGCAGTAGAAGTCTTTATGCTTTCCATAAAAAAAATAATGAATACATTATAATACATTTATACGATAAAAGTATTTTTTTCCTCAAATCATTACATAAATAACATTTATATCACGTTTCTCATATTGTATAATATGTCAAAGTATTGTCAACGTTATCACATTATCTGGGTTAAAAAAATACTCAATAATATTATTTCATATATTATATTATTCATCACATTATATTTTTTTTTCAAACAAGTTATAGCACCTTTTTTTAAATAACTCTTATGCGCTTATTATTTATTGATATCGGGCATATATGATTTGTTTCAAAGCCATATATAATGAATTTTAAGACTTGTCTACCTAGCAATTAGGTTATAATTTCTATATTGGTGAATAAATTATTTTGCTCCCTTCTCACTAGTTTTTTACCCGGTCATACTTTATATTTCACTTTTTATATAATATGTTGAATATGCTTATTTCTCTAACTTACATACACATATAAGTTAACTACAATAATAATGACCTATGCATAAATATATTACATAGATACATCATAATATAGCATCGCATACACAACTACACAATACCATGTATCCGTTAGGTTCAATAGTTAGTATACAGTTCGTACAAGTCAACAACGAAGTATCTATATGATAACCCTGAGGTCAATCCATTATGCATCAGATTTTGTAGTAATACGTCTTTTCGTTATCGGGTGGTGGGTACTTATACCACAATAATAAACGACTTCCTTGATTAGCTATTTCTATGATACACAGATGATGTGCTTATTATGTTATACATGCTACTTCTGCTCTCACGGCGGCTCTGATAAGATAATAATATTGTATTATTATTTTTGTTGTTAATCACTTGCCCGGCGACGACATACCTACATCCTCAAATGCCTCACACAATTCTACCGTTCATCATCACATATGTTTTACACATGCACGCGCGTCGCACGAATACATCAACCGCGGTATACGCGTATTAAACACACGCACGCACGCGAGCAAATTGAACTTTTTACAATGACCACGATGTCGCTGTGCGTGCACACCACGAATAAATGATTTTTTTCCTAAATGGACCGACCGAACCCCGCACAGTTTAAATTATCATAATCTCTTAACAATCCTTAATTGGACGGGACCGTTCGGGACGTCGAGAGCACCGCGCACAATACACATTGGCATACAGTCCCTTGATCTCGTCGCGTCGTTATCTCACGTTCGGTAGTATAATACCAATTGTTGTACGCGCATAATATTACTATTAAGACATCCAAAGTCTCGTCTTGGTTTCATATAACGCACGGTTCAACCCGAATAGCTAATAATATTTTCGTTTGCCTTTGATGTGATTTTATTTCGTTTGAAAACTTTTACCGTTTACTCCGATCAAAAATGTACCGCCTGTTTTTGGTACTGTGTTTGTGTTACGGTTTGCTGGGCTACGCGTCCTCGGATGAAACAACCACTTCGGTGTATGAACATTGCGGAAATCTGCAGCTTCAGGAAAACATTCAAATTAAATTGGTACGTGTTTGTCACAGACGAAGAACTACATTTAAAATCAAAATCGCATAATATAGTGTAATCTGAATTCTAAATTAAATATCTAATCCGTCGTTTATGTACGAAATTCTATTTAATTTCAATAATCCCATAGAAAAGTATATTTATAAATAAATAATTAGGTATGCTTTTAAAAGTACGATAATGTTTACATTTTTTTAGTCTTTTTTCGATATATTATTATTAAAAACAGTATTTCTAGGTTAAAAAATTTAAAGATTTAATACAAGGGACCTCATAAGCGGTTAAAAAATAAGAAAAATACATAAGCACATTTATTATTAACATTAAAAATTCAAATTTTACTAAAATCAAATAATTAAACGAAAAACATCAAATTTTCCTCTAATGATTTTAATAGATTTGTTATTACTCAAAAAAAAAAAAAAAATAATAATAATGGCTGCATGTAGATACTTGGAAAATGTTTTCGTTATTATTTATTAATTTTTAAAATTACAAAAATACTGAGACTCTTATATGCGAGCCCAGGAAATTGTATAAATTATAAGTTTCTGTAAGGTATGATATTTTTAAAATATTTATATCATGAACCTATTTACGTCGGTATGTTAGAATTCACTAACATGTATATGTTATTCACTTATAAATTAGATGGAGTGTTTTTAGAAAAATTTAATTAAATCTTTCAAAGTAATAACATTTGTTTAAATTTATTTATTAAAAATTAAAATGTTTTAGCATATTAAGGTATACAATTACAAGTTGGTTTACAAATTAAAAATACAAAAATAATAATAATATAAAAATACTATAACATCAACTATTCTGGGTTAAAAATGCTGATCTATCTGCCTGAAATGTTTTATACAGCGAAAACCAGTTAATTGTTCATATGTACAACGTACAAATTCAATCCTAACTTAAGCTATAAGTTAAACGAATTATACGTTACTTGTTTTTAACATTTTCTGATTTTAATAATTTACAATATAAATTATACAACATTGACTTAAGTTAAATTAAACAAAACAATACCTAATTATTATTGCATGGCACTGCTCACTACTCAGTCCGACCTTCTTTTTAAAACTTAAGGCTAAGATAATGCCATTATTGAGCATTGATCGTTTTCAGGAAATACTAAGAAATAAAAATAGATTAGTCACATTTGTTTTATTTATATAAAGTAATGAATGGTGAACGGTTGATCTAAACAATGACAGAATAAAATGTAGTAGGTAATAAGAATGCAGTTGAATCTCGTGTTAGATAATTATAATTTTGGTTCCGTTCACGTTTATTAACTTAAAGTGGCTACAATTAGTAAAAGTGTATACATTTATTTGCTATCTCGTTTTAAAAATAAATTATACTATATTGTTACACTTACAGTTATTATAAACGAAAAATATTTTTAACAGTTTTATTAAATTTAATTATACTGTAAATAAATAATTATAAATTCTATAGTTCAGTACCTCAGCCCATTAGAAGTTTCATAAATTTTATCGAAATGCACTGAATACATTTTTATAAAACTGATTTACACAATTACATTCATATCGAATTATTGTGAATATAATTAAATGTGTATTAATGTATTAGATTAAATTGCGAACACCTCTACGTTGACTTTATGAGATTTTAGTTTTTAAAAATTTATCTATTGCAACTTATAAATAGAAAATGTTGATCAATTTTATTTTGTTAAATTAATAAAATTAAAAAGTCTAAGCCACGGTATTAAATGTACCTACAGGCTACAGTTCCATAATGATTTATATACATGTACAATTGATACCTAAACTCTATGCCTAACGGGCATTTACTATTCATAAATAAAAAAAAAAATATTTTTATTCAGTAAGACGTTAGCAGATAGTTTCAGGTCAATGATCAATTATTAATTATAGTTATTAATGTTCTTATACGTTTTTTTTTACCTAATAATTCATTCATTTTATCTATATCAACATTTCTTAAATTGTGTTCCGCGAAGCATATTATGTAAATTTTTTCAAAATGTTCAAGAAAATTACTTTAAAATATCTAATTAGATATTTGTAGCGACTAGTAGGAGGAAAAAATGTTTGTATATTAAATAATAATGTATATGGTATAGTCTATAGTCTACACTCTATACTTCTAAGTTCTATATTTACTATTGCGTACTTATAGTGCTTATACAGTATTCAGAAATAATATTTGAACGTCGTTAATAAAAATACTAATTAGTTATGCCCGTCTACGATAGCGTGAAATTCCGGGAAATAACTAAATCAATGATATTAGTAGAATTTTGGTGCAATTCAAAAGATGAATATTCTCGATTGTCACAAAAGGCCGTGTTGGCATTTTTACTATTTTCAACCACTAGTATGTTTGAAACGGGGTTATCCACCTATGACCTATGTATAAACAAAAACAAAATATCGCAATGGACTTGCAAGCTGTTCATAGGATCACGATAAAATGTCGTACGATTATCTTATCGTAAGACACCACGAAAACTATCCGATACATTTAAATATTCTAGACGATAAAAATATCGAACAACTAAAATATTTCAATCAAAATATACAAAAATAAACTGATTAGAACACACGAACGATAATTATTATCGTTCGATAAACAAAAAAAACAAATTTAGTACCCTGTATGATTCGATGAATGTATCCGCTATGGCAAAGCGAATTCACCATCGCCGAAAATTTGTGAATTTTATATATATTGAAATATAGATATAGATGTACTTATAAGTGAAGTCCAATCAAAAGCCCTTTTTTGGGAATTTGGGATAAAAGTCTGGATCATTATTCAGATATAAATTACATAGTATCGTCCGATAAATATCAGTCATATATCCTGCCAATTATACTATCGTACGATAAACAAATCATACGATGAAATATCGCTTATGTGTAACGGCCATTTAACTATTATCGATACTTTAAATATGCTCTAATAATTTTATAGATTTAATAATAACTAAATAGGTAAATAGATCATATACTTTCGATTAAAAAAAATCTATTAGATATCATTAAGATTTTAGACCTAACAGAAATAATTGTCAATAAAATAACTTAGGAAGTTTCATACTTGATACTGTACTTATATGAGTATAATATGACTAAAAAACATTATTTATAGTTTACAATAATTGAAACTGTCTATTTAAATTAAGATAACGTCGTTCGATTTTTTTTTAATTACATAAAATAATATCTGCGCACTGCACATCAGCTTTTAATATTAATAGATACTAGATAGGATGTAAATAAATTGAAATTAGATGCCATTTAAATTTCACTTTATTATATAGTTATATTATGTTTTTTTTTTTTTCAGTCAAATTGATGATGTCATTTTATAGACATTTACATACTATAATTTTACTAATGGATATCAGTATTCAGTATTAATGTTTTGTTAACTACGCATGTATAAAAAAAAAAGACAATTTGAGTTAAATACATAAAAACAAGTTAAAAAGTTGAATCATTAAAACACCCACATACTACGTTTGAAACAGGGATATTAATTTTTTATTTATTTTATTTTATTTTTAGATAACTGGTACATGGTATGTAATTGAAGTTCTACAACACAAGACAAACGAAAAAATATATCATGGAGAGAAATTTGAAGTACCCACTTGTCCTTCTGTTTTCTTAACGCTTGCGGGTTCTGATACAGACCTGAAATTGTACTGGAACGAAGATATGGGCGACGTTGAATATCTATTCAAAATTAAAGACAAATCGTCTCCCGGATTCTGGCTGTCGTCTGGATCTCAAAATGGTAATTATCAAAGTTAAACTACTTTTTAAGGCGCCTACTATTATTCACATTCTTTAATGATCGGCATACACATTTCAAACATGCGAATAAAAAGCCTTGGGGCGACCCTAAGATTGTTAAGATTATTTACATAACATTTTATTTATACAATTGAAAAGTCTGATTGCTAAAAAAATATGTGGGCAAACTACCACGGTCTGACACGAGCATTTTATGGACGTTAAGTTATTGAAGACAAAATACAGCGAACAAACCTTTATTAGGAAACATTATTTAAATAAGACTGAAGCTACGTACACGCGACTTATTAGTAACAACTTATTATTAATAACAGTGATGCATTGATGTACATAATATACCGTTCACAAAACAATAATGATAAAATATGCGTATAGCGACTTATATAAGTTATGAATAAACGGTTTTTACCCTTTGTGTGTGTTAACTGATACAGCGAGAAATTAAATACAATTAACATATATATTCGATTTTAATTTTTCAACTGTGTATTGTTTAATTTAATATGTATGGGTATATTATTTTTTTTAATATGCTACGTCAAATGTCTACATACATATAAATCATATAATATGATAAACGTTCTATATATAAGTAGGTTGAAGCCTTGAAATCATAATGTTTTTGTGCGATACTGGATAGGTACTGAAAAATCAATACTGATTTATGTCAGTGTCTACTTAAACTAATGATTTCAACATTTTAAAATAAATATTTGGTAGCCATACTTGTTTAAAACGCGTATGTTATTTATTACGTTTTTAAATTGGGCTGTTTTTGTAACTGACAGCTTAATCACACGTTTCATCCTATAAACACTAAGTACTGTAATGTTATATTATATTATAGGTATGTATAACTGTGTAATGGTATATCTAGGCAGTATAAATTAATTAACTCATAGTATTAAGACCATAGAAATCTTATTTTTTATAATATGTTTTGGATTATAATTATTTAATAACAACAGTCAATAAGCTTTGTAAATTATTTATATAACGGTATGATTTGAACTTGATTCCTTACCAATTGACAAACACTATACTTACGTCTTAAATTAAGGTTTAAAAACATTAAAAAAAAAAATTGAAACTAAAAATGTAAGAACCTGCCTAGGTTAAATACTTAAAAGTTAACCAAAAATTACAAATAACTAATAATGATAATAATTCATGGTTGAAGTCAAAAGTCATGAAATATACTAACTATATAAATTACCTAAGTCCTGTACAAATAATCTATCTTGATATTTAATTTGATTGTAAATTAGAAATAGTTTAAATATCTACATATTTAAAAACCAAATACGTCATTATGAGTTTATAGGTACAGTCAGCAGTGACGTGTTTTCAATAATTTCTTGAGAGGTTTTTAAATTTTTAAAAATTATACAATAAAGCTTACTTTGAAACAAGAAATAGAGATAAAATTAATATATACAAACATTACCGGACATGTTGCCGCAATGAATTTCCACCCGGTCGAATACATGTAAGACGCTCTACTATTATAGTTTTTATGGATTGTGGACAATATTTTTATGATTTTTTTATCGAAAACTCCGTACACACATACTAGTTAGATATTTTCTTATAATTTATAAATAATATTTTTATTAAAAACTTCTATGATGCATTGGTGCATAGATACATGTTTTATATGTTCTAGGGGGGTTTGAACCCGAGAACCTCTCCCCTCCCCCCCCGTAAATACACCACTAACAGTCAGGATTGACTAAGTAATATTGCAATATCATTTAAAATCTATAGGGAACGAGAGAAAGATAGAGGGGAGAGGAGAGAGACGGAGAATACAAGAATATAGTATCAAAATAAAAATGTCAACAAAATACCTTTTGGCGAAAGCTAAAAACGGAAACGCGCGTGTTATACGTTCGCTGCAACAATTTAAACCTTTGCGTTTTTTCCGGACGCCGTCCATGTTGCAGGCACCCTAGTGCAGGTGACCAGCTACGACCAGTTCGCGGGCATGGTGTACGTCCGGAAGGCGGTCAGCAATCACATGGTGTTGACGTTCTGTTCGCCGAACACGCAGCTGTACAGCGTAGTGTTGGCCAGGGACAAGACGCTGGACTCCAAGGACCTGAAGAGCATCGTGAACCACATGCACCTGCAAAAGTTGCCCATCACGCAGACGAAACGCACGTGTCGCAGCTCGGCGTCCGCGGCCCGGGCCACCGCTTGGATGACCACAGCGTTCTGCTTGGCGTACCTGGTGTGGTACCTACGCGTGCACAAATAGGTCGCAACCGTCAGGCGTAGCGCACCCCTGTTTTCACGTTGGGGCGAGCGGACGCGTAAAACACACACACACACACACCCATCCACACACACACACATAGAACCGCACTTGGGTGCGGGCGCAGGGTCGGCGTCGGTCGAAGCCCGTGAAGGGGGGGGGGAGGTAAAGTCGGAGACTTAAACTCGGCAACGCGCCGCGGATGGCGATTGGAAAATTACGATATTTCTTACGACACCGTCGTCTCCAAGCCGCAGACAACTTTGCAGATGATGTTTCGTTCCGATTAAAACTTTAAACATTTACAATCCATATTATTTTATTTTACGGATAACGCGTAATACTTATCAAACGATTAACTACGTCACATAATTATATTGATACATAGGTATACACAATACACATCGATTTTTGTGTACCGGGCTCTTTCCGTATATTATGCGTATACCTACACGCCGTGGCAGTGAAATATTAATTAACGTCATAACACGTGGTAGATTACACCCACGTAGGTACATTTTATAAAATCGTCAGATCGCTACTGCACTGCTGTAGCATAATATGCATGTGGTAAAAGCCCCTTCTTAATAAACAGAACATTTTTTTCTTTAGTTCTATATTTTGTAATAGTATTACTGTATCTGCGGCTCTGGTGCTATTAAAATTCATGTTTAAATTTTTTATTTTATTTTATTTTATTATTATTATCTTTTTATTTTTTCTGAAGCCTTCAAGCCCCCATTCACACCGACTCTGCGCATACACACATATACAAACAACAATACTTAAAACGATAGAAAAAGAGAAAAATAAAATCCGAGAAACACATACCTTCCATACCCAACATTGCGTTGTCATCCGAACACATCAATACGATATAATTATAAACCTATGATTTTTATTCCATGCTCAATTCAAGTTGTGCAATATACCGTTAAAATAATATGTCAATTCCGTTCAATTTGTACTTTTGCTTAATTTTTCGGATCTCTTTAGTGCATAATGATTATGTTTTATTGCGTACCTATATTTACATGCTAATCCACTTACTATTTATAAATTATAATATTGTTTTAGTTAACACATTTATAATAACGTATGATTGGACGACTACATAATTGCACAATGTTGGGTTACCTTTTTTTTTGTGTAATTTATTTTCTTAAAAACTAATGTATTCGTATTGTAACAATAATTACTTAGATATAATTATTTCATAACATTATTTGTAAATTAAAAAAAAAAATGTTTTTATAAGATTTGATGAAATCAGATGTTTATTACAAATATACAAATAATATTAATATACCTATATTATATATATTATATATACATATATATATATGTATTTATAAATATATAATTTTTTTTTTTTTTTTTTGCAGTAATTTAATGCAGCTATACAACAGTTGTAAAATATGTTAGCTTCGCGCAAATTTGTATACTTTATTTGTTTAAACAATAAAGCACAATAATAATTGTACATGTATATTAAATCGAAACACTTATCGTATCTATTTTAAGAAATAAAAATAGACTCAATTTTTAAAATTACCTATGAAATAATATTATAAAAAAATATACTAAATTATATAATAATAGGTTAAGCCGCAGTCTTATTGCATCACTTGCATTATTAAGGATTTACACATAACTTAAAATGACAATTAATCACTTATGTACAAAAAATTTAAGTAATTCCATTAGTCTTTGTAATGTCTAATGAGAGGCGGTATCACAATAATAATCAGGTAAACAATGAGCGTCCAGATGGGCAAAAACACATAGTATATTGGAAACTGGGGATTCTGGTTTTCCAGCTTATAGCAAAGTGTAAGTTGGGCGATGATCTTCATCAGACATATGACAAATATTATGCACCTACGACTGCCACAAAACACCGGCATCTCGGTCATCGCTTGACAAGAATTGCTGTGCACGCAAGAGCATATTATGAATAGTGCTGTTAGCGCGTCGTCTAACCAAATCGGCATGAATATCAGATACCAACTCTGTTTTTGTTTGGTCTGTAGTTGTATGGTGAGCAGCACCAAGAAAATCACCATTGAAGCCCATGTGGTCAGGGCACGTTGAGTCAGAGCCATTCTAAAAAAAATAATAATAATACATGACTATATTATATTGTAGGAAATATCTCACATAGCATCATATATGTATAATACAGATATTAAATATTAACTTTTTATAAAAAGTATGTACACTTGGCAGTCAATGGTCTTAAACTATTTATCAATAAAAACAACTGTTCTTTAGGAAAACACTATTTTCACAGTTTTTTATTGGCAACAAAATTTCGAAAAATAAAAATGTAATTAATCAACTTCTATAAGCAGATGCTTAAATACAACGCTACATGACCTACATATCCTATTACAAAACACGTGCATATAAAATTTTTTTTTTCAGAAAATTTTCTTAGGTACGTAACTATACTGAACAAATACGGGGATCGAAGAATATTTTTAATTTTTTCAATAATCGTTCTAAACTTATAAATTTAAAAAAACAAATTTCATCAAGACTTATACATTGGATTAGAATAAATAATAACAAATTACTAATATTTGTGTTAAATTACACATTAATAAAATATATTATAATACTTGTAGAATTTTTAATCATTTTGAATTTAAAACAATATTAAAATTTGAAGTTTTATGATTTACCTATAAGCAACATATCTTACAACAATATAAAACAACAACTAATACCTTGTTTAAAAGAATTAGTAATATAAAATATCTGCTGTATAATAATTTATAACTTTTAACGAATAAAATGCATTATTTAGTAAATATCAACTCATAAATTAAAAACAATTGTCAATAAACAAAAAATAAATTAACAGGCATTTTATTTTAGCATTTGTAGTACCCATCTTTCTACGACATTTATTCTAAAATTGTAACAGTTATTAAGGTAGATACTTCCAACAAATTTAACGCTAATAAACTAATAAAGGCATACTTCAATAGTTCTGTCACTTTTTCCCTGAAAACATTATTAACTAATCAACTGCACCAATTATAATATATTATATAGTAAAAACGTAACTAATGTAATAAATCAAAAATATGAATTTGGTCGTACATTTGCTGTATAAAATTAACTAAAAAACAAAATCTCAAAAATAAGATAAATATTTCTTTAATACAAAACGTATAAAAATACATTAAAATAAATAATAACACATATTATTATTTCATAACGTTTAACTATATATACACATGGTTCGTGTTATTATTATTTTGCAGAACATTTGTAATTCTGTCCGTTTTTGCAACAAAACTCTTTGCCGGTGGACAAAAGCGTGTTAATCCACGAATCGTTGCAGTTTTTCACGAACAGATGCGCCTGGAAAAATCGAAAAATGATTTTATACAAAAATCCTAATTACATTGCTAAATGGATAAAATTAATTTTAATTTTTCAAGAAAATAACTCACCCGTTCCTTGTACACGTCACGATCGACCGAACCGCAGATTATTGCCGGACTGTTAGGCAAATGTTTAGCGATCTGCAGAAGAGGGTAAAACATCAAAATTACTGTTATAATGTACGTCATCAGAAACTAGTATTAATATTATTAATGTAGTTCTGCTGAAGTAGAAAAAATACTCAGACCACGATCCCGGTATACTCACAATTTCCAAACACTTGTTCGTGCAAGTCTTCACACCCATAGCGTTACACGGGGCTGGTTCATCCTGTTCGTGCAACAACGCGGCATATCCGATTGGCTGTTTGTTACCGACCTTTGTGATTTGGCTACTCAAAAACACACCACAAATACACGGCGTCTTTGCGGTCGACGAGGGTAGCGATTGTGCGCCGCTCGACGACCCGTGAAACGGTATTGGTTTTACCGCGGGGGCATGATTTAACATTTCGTTAAGCTTTTGGCCCGGCATCGCCGATCTTTGTACATTGTCGACATCGGATTGATCGGCGAAACTATAAAAAGATTACGAAACATAGGTAAGATTGGTTTTCAATATTATTATATATACTAACATATAAGTAGTAAACCTTATACGATACCATTTTGTATCGAAAAAGAAACGAATAATCTTTATAAAACTACCAATAATATTAAATTGTCGTCTCAGAAACGGTATATGTTGACACGATACACAGGACCTGACTTGACCAACAATTTGAAATAGGTAATCGGACACGAAAAATAATTAGGCACGTATTTTTATACTGTTAAACGACTTACCAAAGTGAGGTCGAGCTGAGCAAAACTGCGAATGACACCATCGTAGTAGTCACCATCGTCATCATCATGATATGGTTTTTTAGTAGCTGTTAGCAAAGGTGCTATACTATGTAATGCGCACAACAAGTGCGGATTAGAGTTATTGTACTTGATGAACTCGGACCACACGCCGTAAGGGAATGCGCTAGTTTTCGTTCGTACGACCATATTTATAAACGGCGTGCAAATGATGAACAGACTTCCTCGTGAATTGTGTTTTGTAAACACTAAATTGATGTTTAAATTTTAAGCGGAAACACAGCGATGGAGAACTGTTTAATTTTTGAAATGAGAAACAATACATATACGGTTCAGGAAACTCGTTCGTTGCTTTCGTATTGTAAACATTAAATTACGAGTATAATGACCAAAAAAATAAAAATAAAATCCTGTGATAACAAAACAATTTTAAGGCTAATTTCACGTGATACTATATTATTGTTATACTTGTACACATTGTATACCCAACAATAATGTAACCATTTCGCTTTTACTACGAATTATCTAAATTCATAGTACATACATCTAAACATTCTAAACGATTTTGACTTAATACTTTTACATCGCAGATATAACATCATGACTCATGAATCAAATCACTACAACTCGTGATAATTTCTAAGAGTTGTGAACTTGTCGATTAAGAATTATTTGACATGTACTTATACAACATTAAGTATCTAGAACATTTATACTTAAAAACAAACTGTATATTATGATATATTTAATACAGAACAAAAACACTACTATTATTGTGATATTATAATAGGTAAAATATTAATTATCTATAAAATATACATTTTCACTCTTAATTTTAAAAGTTTAACAGTTAAAAACGATTGAATTAATCGATCCAAAAATTAAGACGCTTAAAATCAGGTATAGGTATAACATAGGTTTTTGTTTTTAACCTTTAATTTTAAATTTTATTATTACACGTCTAATTTTTAGTAACATGTTTATTGATAACGTTTGCTGTGCCTTCCATGACTACCTTGTCCCCGACACTACACCAAAATCCACACCTCACAAGCTTTCTTATGGTTTGTATCTCAACTTCGATTTTGACTAGGTCACCAGCATAACACTTGTTTGGGAACCTTAGGCTCTTAGACACGACAACCGTACCGTTACCGGGTAACTTGGTGCCGATTACCCCGGACACCAGACCCGCCAAATAAATGCCGTGCACTAATGGACGATCACCAGAATGTATGGGATTAGTGTCACCACTAAGACGAGCAAAATCATCGATATCCGTTTTATCGACTCGTTTTGATATCACTACACGGTCGCCTACCGTAAATGCTTTGGTAGACTGTAATCGTCTACTTAGCTGTGTAAGCATAACGATCGTAGTTATGTATAACTAATACTGATCACTACTTATGAAATATATTTATTATATTTGACTTAATATATATAAGTACTTAGTTATTCGGATGAACACTATGTGTTGAACGTAATAGCCGTTTGAATGTCGTGTTCGGTACAGAAATCTGTCAAAAATATTTTAGCCACATTCCTCAGCTTGGGGTTTTCGCTCTGAGCATGCAACTGCATATAACCGACAGTGAACGGGTTTACGATGTCTGTAAAAAAAAAAAAAAAAAATAAAGTAAAAAAAATGTATTAAACGAGTTTTAAAGATTTTCTTTCGAAACCTCTTACAAAGATTACATATATACTATGTAGTATATAATATATTGTATAGTATATTACAATGCACAGAATTATAATTTTCAATTGTTGTTTGTTACTTATAAGTATGAAGACGCCAGTGAAATAAAAAAATAAATACATTATAATAGTATAAGGTAGGCCTGTATAAGTTATTTTCATTTCAAGAAGTTATAAATTTATTTTCACTTCTTTTAAATACATGATGTACACCAGATCAATCATGTTATATTATAATAATTAATAACTCATAAATCAAAAAAATATTTTTAAATTTTATTTCACTATTTTACATATTAAAAATATTTATTTGTTTGCCAATATAACGAAAAGAAAAATAAAAACAAATATATTTTGCTTACTCGTATATTTATTTGAAAATGAACTGTTTGTTAGAAAAATAGCTAATAATTTTTTATAAATTAATACTCATTAATCAACCATAGTAAGTCTCAAAATTGAATAAGTAGATACATACTTCAAATAATTACTTATATAGGATACCTACTATACGAATAATTTATTTATTTATAACAGAAATGATTTTAAGAGATAACCATTAAAAATATGGTTTAATATAAACTTTATGAACACTTCTTCTTTTAGTAGGTATGATAATATAATTTGTTAAATATCGGGATCAATATTAGAAAAATACATACGATAATATGTTAATAGCAAGAAGTTCAAACAAATAATTCATTGAAAAATGACCAACATTATTGAAGTTACCTATAGTTTTTATAAATCTCCCACGACGGAACCTTTTTTTCTTATTTCATAGTTCATGGAAATAGTTACAAGCAAATAATTATGAAATGAAATGTTGTATGCCTATTTAAATGTACCTAATTATTTAGAAGTAATTTTTGACAGGTGATGAGGTGATGTATAACAATATGTGCATAATGTAAAATAAAATGGAATTTACAAAATGTAATTTTTAGACACGCTTCACACACGATTAGCTTTTTATTTAGTGTTAATGATAGGTATGTGTAAAAGTTAAAAAATAATAAGTAAAACTATCTTAAAAATTATCATACATTTTTTTTTTTTAAATGTTTGTAAATTATGTAATGTATATCTTGCTATTTTAAACAAACATTTAAAATAATAAATAAAGTTTAAATTAACATAAAGTCACGTTTTAAGAAGATGCCACACCTTAATTTGATATCTCCGTCTTTTAAGTACGTAAAATTGTAAATTTACGTTCAGCTGTTCTTGTTTAGCTTCATAAGTTTTATTAAGACGGAGAAAACGGGTGTGGCATCTAGGCATACTCTTATGATGAAAATACTTTATCATTTATTCTTTCAGGAATAAAATAATACTAATGAAATTCTAATTGTTTGCATTTTCGAATTAGTAAATCAAAATCAATTACAACTTATACTATATATCATATATAATATGAAAAATTTCAACAAATTTGGTAAAACTAAATAGCAATCATCCTTCAACTACAAATTTCAAATGTATTACCCATAGGTGTGCTAAGGTAGGTTACAAGTACAACCACAAAAAAATAAAGCCTTAATGCTCCTTTAAATAGAATTAAATTAAATGATAATCAATTTTTTTTTTTTTTGATAACCAAGTAAGTTAAAAAGATTTTATATTCTAATTTTACATTATTTATATTTTATACAAAGCATCTAAATATTAGTCTAATTAATTTAATATATATTAAAGTAATATTATTTTTCTCATCTCTTTTTTTATTACGTATGCTATTATGTTTCAATTATTAGTAAGATGTTTGTTTTTTTTCTAATTTCTATACTATTAACTCTTATATGGGATCATAGCTTAAGGTAAATTCCATACAAAAAAAATTATTATTATTAAAATTTATAAGTAACATACAAATATAAAACATTTATTATTTTATACATAAAAAACTTTACCTTTAGGCTTTAATTAATAATCAATAATTATCCTTTATGGATATAGGGTATAATCAATCAAGGCAGTTTCCCCTACTAAAATTATACTATATTATATACCTCTTAAAAAAACTTATGCATGCCTATGATACTACCTAATATCATAATTTGAATCTTATCAATTATTATAACTAGTACATATATTATGTAACTATAAAATTAGAGTAAATTATTATATTGAAGAGAACATAAATATATTTTAGAAAAATAAAAGTGTTTTTAGGTTTAATAACTCGTAATATTTAAAAAAAATATATGAATGTTAAATATTTCGATACAAGTCCAGGACTTCTTACTATTATATTTTGTATTCACAAAACTTTCATAGCTAATTATATGGTGATAAATAGTAACCTGAAGTACAATTTAGATAGTTTAGATAGCATTCTACATTTATAACAACATACTAAATTTAAACATATTTCTTTGATACATTTCTAATTTGAAATATTATTATATTGTTTATTTAATAACATTATTAGAATTAAAATCATAGACTAATATATCAATGTATAGACATTCTAATAGAAGCTTTACATTTCACCAAGTATATAAAAACAGATAAAATATAGATTTTACTAAGCCAATAAGTAAAAATACTATAATTTACTATCCAACAAATATTTAATGACATACATTCTATAAAGATAATTTTAAAATTTCTGAATAGTAATTTATCATAAGTAATTATTTTAAGTATTGAGAAAATTACTTTAAAAATACAAGACTCATTTAAATTAAACAATTTAGCTTAATTATCACAGTAATTTTAAGAAATTCAATTGTTTAATATATATTAAATATTCTACATTGTACGTCTAAATTTACTCAACATGACTAAACTATATTATATTTTCCACCAATTTGGAATAAATGTCTTAGCTGTGAATCCACCAACAATTAATCGTTCTGCTTTTAAACATTCATCAATTCTTAAAAGTGCAATACCAAGTTTTCCACATAATCCTCTCAATTTTCCAGGTGGTCTTTTAACATCTAAATCAGATTCAGTGTAAATATCAGCATCCAAATCCAAACCAGTGGGTGTATCATCAAAAACTAAAGGCATTATTCTTTTCCTAGTAACTCCAGTATGATAAGTCCTTGCTGTCAGTTCTTGTCCAATATAACAGCCTTTATTAAAGCTTATACCATTTAAATAATCACAATTCATTTCTAATGGAAAAGATAGCCCTTTTAGTAATTCACGGCCTTCTGCAATACCATTTTTATATCTCCATTGTTGATAAGTAAATTTGTTATCACGTTCATCCAAAAAAATTTCATTTCTAATGCCTAAAGTCTTATCAGATATAATTCTTTGACCTAAAATAGGCAGACGTGGGTCATTAAAAACACTGACAGAATTCAATTCCATGTTTATAGGCGTAGAACTGAATAAGGCCCAAACACTTGTATTTTCTAATATTTTGATATTAAGTTTTCTTCTTAATAGGTACATTTTTAAGTACTTGATTAAGTCACTAGCATCATCTGTTTCACATTCCAGTAATATATAATCATTCACTTTATATATCAAACAATCATATAAAACACGACCTTTTGAATTCAATATCATAGTAAACAAAGATTTTTCAGTTTTTAGTTTTAAAATATCATTAGTCATCAAACCCTGACAATAATCATACATGCCATCACCATCGATTTGTATTAAACTTTTATTACTTAAAAGTTCTAACTTAGGTTTGAATGAAGCTGTAGAAAATAAGCGTGCTATCTTCATTGGCACTCTCATTGTTCAAAAACCTTAGAAAAACATATATCAACTAATTAATAATAATTTATTGTTCTAATGTTAACTCTCATGTAGTATGCGGTCTAAATATATAATTACAAACATTAAAACAATTAAAAGTATTTATTATAATTATTATTTTTAACTTTAAAAGATTTAACTAAAAAATTACAAAAGTAACTAATAATAATAATAAATATTATAACATATAACTTAAATATTAATAAAGATTATTTAATAAAATAAGTTACTTTAAGTGTTAAATTTAATTAAATTTAAAATATAAAATAAATAAATACCGCATACTACAAAGTCCTTAAAAGGTATGAATAATTTAAAGACTATTTTTCAAATTCAAGTTCATTAAAAAATTAGAATTTATATAATGAAAATAAAATTAGCAAACTTCTTACAAGTTTAAATATAATACAAAATTAATGTATTATTAACAAAAATAAAAAATAATATAATATAATTTATGACATTATTATTAATATTAACTTTGTATAATTTTACATGGAAATTGGTGATATAATATGTAGTAGTACCTATGATTAATGTAAAAGATTTAATAAAATAAAATTTTATAAAAAAAAAAATAAATAGTGTTATGAAATATGTAAGCTTACAATGTTATAATAATTACAATTGTACATCTTAATAATTGAATAATAAAAATAATTCTACAAAAAGATATAAATTTGAAATTTTAACTATGGTTTTCAGACTGAACAGTAATTAAGTATTATATTTTTATATAATGGTAAATCAACATAAAAGTTTTTCAAATACACATTATTAAACTTAAAAAATCCTATTTTTAAATTCATAGATAACATTTAGTATATATATACTACATAAAATATAAATAAATAAATTATTACAATAGTAAAATGTTGAAATACATATTTAAAATAGTATAAAAATAACTCACCTTAGTGACACCTGTGATAAACGTATAACAATTTTACTAATGGAAATTAATACTTATGCCAAAAAACTATAACTTAATACAATTTTTTTTAAATAACAAA